GCAAATATTTTGGGACAGCGCAGGAAAGCGACTAATAACAGTCAGTTAGGGTTCATACTAACTCGTTCGTTAAAAGTTATTTCTTAGCTTAGTCTGTGAAGTTATAAACTGATTCAAATGCAATAAAGGCTTTATAGAATATGATTGGCTCATTTTTTCAATTTATTGTTTATTTTAAAGTGTTTATTCATCGTAAAAGCAATAAGATCAGGCTTCAAAACCCACAATCCATGTGGTAATATCATCTCACGTATTTCTGGAAAATATTGCCAATATACACGGAAGTAGAACATAAGGACCGTGGCAAGGCGGGACGGAGGGTTTGATAGTTATTTTTTTGTTTTGTTTTGTTCCAATATAAAATATTGCCTGAAGATGGATTTCTCCAAAGTAATGTGTTTCTCTGAAGATAAATCTAGTTCATTTGAAGACATACAGTGATGATTAGTATTAATTTGGAGAACAAAATTTAAATAGTGAACAATTTACTGTATACAACAATAAAACATGTTTCAGTGTTTCTTAAGGTAAAAAAAAAGAAGAATTTGGCTTATCATTGGATTACCAATGAGAATTGCCACTTCTGATGTCCGCTCACCTTTTAGGGTAGCCTACACCTAACAGTCAATCACACCATCCATAGACCTGCAGTACAGTATATATCAAAAATGAGTACCCAAACCTAGGTCAGCAACTCATCAGGGCCATACTTATCCCCAGTCACTGAATAATTAAATAATAATGATGCAAATAAGGTATTGACAGATAAATATTATTCAATACAGATGTCGATCATTTAGACATCACTCTACCCGAACCCCAAAACAACAACTGTTACACATGTATCAATTTAAACAAAAAATATTTATTTATTCATCTACTAACCAAAAAAACAAAACACTAACAATAAATAGGAAATAGAAGGAGCAGTAATGCATGCACTTCATGTGGTCTTATGCTATAGCTGCTTAATGGACCAACGAATGAGTACATACATGCGTGTCTTGGCCAATACTGATACAAGAAAAGAAATATGGACAGGCCGATGTATTGTCTATCAATAATAACCCATTTCTCTAAAGCTCCAGCAAATATAATATTGTTGGAAACAAATGGGTACATAGGGAGGTTTTTTATACGATTTCATTTTTGGTGACATTCAAAACCTAAATCAATTACTTTTCTATCACTTTATGGAAAAAAAAAAAAATCTTCAACCAACCTAAAAACATATTTTTCATATAGAGCGAGGCCATTCCATTCCAAGCTCATACAAAAATATGTAAGCAACTAAAAAAACAAAACACAATCGCAACGAAATAATAAAGACTAAATTAAATACAAAAAAAAACAATGTCAGGGGAGAAATTTTGTTGTCTGTTCAGCAACTTCACTTATTTTCCAACTAATTTTAGTCAGTTATTAGTAAGGCTGGGTAATGAATTGTATTTGTAATAGAATTACAATTTAACAAAAGACAATTTTTAAATCGCATACACAGTCAACTTTGATCACACTACAGTTAACAAGACTATTGGGTTGTCGCAGCAGTCCGTGCACGCAGTGCGTGAGCCCATAAAAGCACTGTACTCTTTTATCGTTGACGCGTATGTTGGTGCAGTACTCGCACAATTAAAGAATGGTCGGTGTTTCTACGGCAACTACACAGAAATATACTGTGGAATAAAACTGGAGGTTTACCTTCTGCACACAGAGAGATGTGACAATGTGGAAACAAGCCTCCTGTGAAGCCCATATAGACATTTACATTTTTTTTATATAACATAAAAATACAATGTTGTTTTATAAAATGAAAGCTAAAACCAAAATCCTTGTTTGTACCACAAGCTTGGGCAATAAACTCACATCTGTATGCCGTCACTGAATAAACAGTAACGACACTGTTCCACTTAAACATTCTGCAATATTTAATGTCAGTACAGGCAAACTTGTTCATGGAGGACGACTTGATTTGCTCCCGTTCTGAATTAGGCTGGCCCGCACGCTCTGCACCAAGTTACACAAATTCATAGGTGTGCAACCTGCTGTCGAGGCACGGTCCGCGCTAAGGGGCAGGGACTGCATGATTGCGTCAGTTTCAAGCTTGTGCCCTTGCGTCTTGTTTGACGGGCGGTTCGGTTAAAGCATTGTGCTTGGGTCTCGGAGGTTCTGAGTTCAAGCCCCACACCTACAGACTGCCACTCTGGGTCCCTGAGCAAGACCCTTAACCCCACACTAATCCTGGGGTGCCACACAATGCCATCCCACTGCTCCCTAAGGGGATGGGTTAAATGCAGAGATTTCACTTTGTTGCAATGTACTTGTGACATTGTAATGATAATAATAAAAAAAGGGCGGGTTAAAACATGCCATGCTGAGAGAGTTTCCCACTTAGGCCAGTAATTGAAAGAAAACTGTAAAAACATACATTAATACCTTTTTTGTCTGTCAAAGTGCACAATCCAGAACTCCACAAGTGGAACAGTTTTTGTTTAAATTGGTTTAATTCTTTAAAAAAAATCTTCTTTATGGTACTTTTTGCTATCCGATTATTAATAAATTAATTGAAAAAATAATCAACAGATTAATCGATTAGCAAAATAATCGCTAATTGCAGCCCTACAGTACTTTGGACACTGATTTTTCTCACTCCAGCCCTTTAGGTGGCGGTAATCCACTTTAATAGGGTTTGCTGCCACAAGGAAGGAAAGAGACTTGCAGCTAGAAAACAGATCCAGTCATGCAAGCCAGAAGTGAAATGTGGACAGGCAAGCTTTCAAGGTCATGAAAACAATCATACCCTGGAGTGAAACATCTACATGCATATAGTCAAATAAATAAAAATTAATATAAAATTACAATATGGGTTGGATAAAAACCCAATTAATTGTCACAATGGAAGGGCTTAAAAGCTATATGCAGCTCTGGAGAAAAGTCCGAATGCTCAGCAGCCAGAAAGGAATAGGAAGCTAAAGCAGAATGGTTCAGATCACTGCGCTTATTTACGGTGATGAAATCAGAAACCAACAAGAACCAACTAAAATACAGGGAAAGTTCATGCTTTAGCAAAGCGGTTAAGCTTGATGTAAACGTAAATACAAAATATGACGCAGAAATCATAAGAGATTTTGATTTAGAAAACAGTACAAGTTTAAGATCTAAGCAGTGCGTCAACTGTTGCATTGCATGTTCAGATGGCAAAATGAATCATACCTATAGATTAGTGGCACACTAAGACAATAAATATTCCTGTGGCGGCTGGCCACTAGAGGGCGTTAGGGCGCCACCACACCAGCCCAATGATCTTGATTAAGAAATTAAAAAATACTAAAACTAATTCTAAAATTAAAATATTTCAAAATATTCTAATATATTTTTTAGATGTGCGAGATAATATTTAATCTTTAATGAGGAGTAAAGCGTCACTTCATTTTTTTTCGGATTGGTGACGTATTTACGCCCTAGGGCGCAAAAATGTTTGCCTATTGACTCTTGTTAAAAGCACATGTGCAGTAGCACCTCTGCAATACAAAGGTATAGGAGAGCTCAGGGCGCAGCTCTGGTGCCCCCTGAGCTGACAGGGACGGTCGTCACAGTTGTATTGTGTGGGATTGACAGGTCAAGCTGCGGAAGTGACATCCCTTTAAAAAAAACTTCCCAAGAGAAGCTGGAGTTGAAATTGTTTGGACCTGATTAGCTGAAAATCAAAATGAATCAGCATTCAAAAGACAGATAGAAACATAAACTTTATAATAACACTTTATAGGATAACACTTTATTCTGTTGCTTAGACTGCCTGCCTCCTTTTTCAAACGTCAGGATGTGACCCAGCATGGATAAAGACAGGTAGGACTGATTTAAAGCACATTTTAGAAAAAGCAAAGAAGAATGAAAGAAGATGTAAAAATTCTTAATGAAATGTAGGATTTAAAAAGAAAAAAGTAAGAAATAATTTTTTTAGGAGTATTTATAGCTTAAAACAGGAGAGGTACATTTGCTGAAGGAATTGAACAGTAATGGCACAGGGTGTCCTGAAGGAGTAAACTCCAGATGCCACATGGAGGTAAAAGGAGACCAAAGTTATGCAACAAGAACAAAAGAGTGTTAATCTCATAAGACAATCACTTACATTGTCACTGCTTGGTTCAGCTTCTGCAGTATCCAAGCTGAATGACTTCAGGTGCAAATTCAACACCAATGCGTTAAAATGCAGAGCCCACTGCAGTTTTTACTAATGCTGGCTCTGATGATATCATCAAATGCAAAGAAATCAATTTTGTTTTTACTCCTCCAGAGTGCTATTTAAAAAATAGTTTTGCAAATCTTGCAGTTAAGTAAACTTATGGGGGGAAAAAACAACTCATTTGAACAAACAAAGTAGTGTGCCTGAGTGTGGCACTGCTGCCTAAGAATAGAGAAACAGCAAAAACAACTAAATCACTAAACAGTAAAGTTTAGTAGAAGCAAAAAGATTTTCAGGGAGAGAAATAAAAACTAGACAACATGTGTACATGTTACTACTAAATCCAAGAATAAAACAAAGCCAACAAGAATAATAAAGCTACCTTTTGCTTTATTTTTATCTTTTATTTAGACCAAAAAAGATCCGATGAACATGAGGTATTAACAAAAAGTATGACTGGCTCTTGAAAGGATGATCTGTCATATTGCAACTTTTTTTCCCTCCTAAATCTGATTTGAACTCTTTAATTTGTGTCATATTACCAAAGATTGATTTAAAAAAATAAAGCATTTCCCACGGTCCTCCTAGCTAAATTTAAATTCCATAATGAAGTAGTTGTTGGTATCTTTAATCCCACCAACATCTGCATCTAGACGCTCCAGCTGTGAGCAGCTCACAGCTGACTTTTAACAAACTTCCCTCATTCACATTTAAACATTAAAAACATATTTGAAGAAGGAAATAAGTATTTAAAGTAAGTAAACCATTGTGTCTATGTCACTTTCATATCCTCCTGGAAAGTCAGGTGAATGCCTACCTGGAAAGATCCATATCACCATCAGCATGGCTCGAAGTCCTCTCTTTATCTCCATGGTGCAACATCCACCAGCTGCTGCGCTCAACTGCCGCTTATTGCTGCCTTCAGGTGACAATTAACTGCCCACTGAGGAAACCAGCAGGGCGAGAAAAGCTCCGACTCCTTCTGCCATCCCGCCTGCAGACGGCAGCTGGCATGGCAGGGCGCTTTGACTGCAAGCTGGGCAGTGTTTCAGGGTGTCTTCCTCTCCTGCTGCAGGTTCGGAGCATCAGAGGTTCAATGTCTCTGGAGTGAGTGAGCGTGGCTCCTTCCTGTCCTGCTCCAACTGCAAACTGTGCAAGCCTTCTCACTCCACCTGAGCTGCTCAGTGTCGCCCCCTGTCAGTGGAAAAGTCTCATTGTGCCTGTTGGTCCTAAAACTCAGTCTTCTCTGTTTACTTTTCACTTGTGACTCAATTTGTATCTTTGATTTAATTTCTTGTTTGCTAATATTCAAAGCTACGGAATTGGATTAAGGCCATTGAAAAAATAAAAAGAAGTTAACTGTTTTTTTTTTTTTTTTCAGTTTAATATGGGAAAAAGTCAGAATTCTGAGATTAAAGTCAGAATTCTGAGGAAAAAAAGTTAGAATTCTGAGATTAAAGTAAGAATTCTGACTTTTTTCCCATATTAAACTGAAATAAAGTTTTAAAACCAGTTTTTTATTTTTTCAGTGTCCCTAATCCTCTTCCATACAAAGCAGTGTTAAAAGTATAAAATCATATTTTAAAAAACTACACCTGAAACCTAAAAAGAGCAAATAACCACAAAATTGTACTTTTAACTGCTAAGGATCAGGGGCGAAGCTAGATGGGGGGGCCAGGGGGGGCCATGGCCACCCTTAGCCAATTATTGGCCACCTCGACCATTTATTTCCCTCCAATACAGATGGTGGCAGCAGTAATACTCTCAAGTGGAATACTAATTTTAATTTTTCATATATTACTATTTTTTCATGTATTCATAATTTATTGAGAACAAAAACACTGTGGTTAATTATGCACATCAATATACTAACAGTAAAGATGATTAGTACAGAATTCATGCTCTTTTAAGAACTAGAATAACTATACTGTGTTATTTTGGCCATCTTATGCCACTATTTGTTAGCAAAGGCGGTAGGAAAGTATAGTTAGTCTTATCTTAGGCTTGACCCTGAGGTTCTGGCGCCTATCCACTTTCGGCCTCAATGTACATTGGTTATTGCCTGGCCACCCTTATAAAGATTTTCTGGCTACGCCTTTGCTAAGGTTAGGTAAACATCTGCTTTACCTCCCTTTACCTCACACCAATGATTTCCTGAGGCACCTACTGTATAATTCTGTTGTTCTTAGAAATCTGAACAGATTGAACCTTACAAAGTCCTATCCAGGATTTAACTGAGTTGGATACATGAGATAGTTTTTGACGAAAGCATTATTTACCAAGCAAAAGCTTATAGCTTTGATATATATTTAAACAGCTTTGCATCTATAAAATAAAAAATGCACAATGCATCAAAAAGGGGAGTTGAATTATATAAACAGTTTTTTGAGGAAATATAATTTAGATAATGCGTCATTTGTTATGATCTTATATCAAATTAAGTAAGAACTCTGTGTATTCTATCCAATTTTTTTCTGTAATATGTAGCTTGTTTTAGTAGTTCTATATTTGTTTTCTATTTGCTGTGCTCACCTGTTCAAACTTTGTGCTTAACAGCATTAACCGTAACTAAATTACACAAAGCTATGTACAGGTAGGTGTTTTTCTTAGAGCTAAGATCTTCAGTGTCTATGTGTCGATGTCCTGCTCTTAACATATTATGCACATTCCTCTCACTGCTGAGTAAGATAATTAAGTTTATCAAATATGTTGCAGGTGAAATAACACCATAGACTCCCCTTACCTTAAATTATTATATAGTTAAAGTGAACAGTGATACCAGGACCCCTCATGATCCCAGCTGGGATAAGTGTGACATGGATGAACAGAGGATGAACAGAGATGTATTTAGTAAAATAAAGTTTAACCAAGTTATAATTGTCTGACATTTGTATCTATTGTACTTTGCAGCTGTTTTGAGAAAAATGTATGCTGCCTGTTTTATCATTATTCCAAAACAAGCATGTTAATTAATTAATTTCTCACAGGTTGCCTTCAGTTTCAAGCAGCTTTTTGCTTTCAAGCACCTTTCTGTTTATTGGTCCATCATTGAACAAATGGATGTAAAGATGGAGGGATGGATGGATTTTCCTCAAAGTGATCCCTCATGCATTAAAAACACCTCATATGGACTTAGTGTTCTTCTATCAGTGAGGTTACTAAGTAGGTCATCCTCTCCTCTATGATGTTTCCACCAAGCCTGGATAGAGTGTAATTACTGCCAGCTGATCATACAAGTTGATAAATTGGCTACAGAGACACAAATATAAAAAAACACAGGAGCAAAGCATAGATATAGACTCAGTTATCTCCTTAGAGAAAAGTGCATGAAAATAATGTATCTTGAAAAAATTCAAACATGCTTTTGCAATGTGGAGACAATTGACTGAGTTTTTATCTTTAAATGCTTTTAAGTTGAAAGTGAAAGGATTTGAAGCAGCCTCAATGATCTGTAATTGTTTTACTTGATATGTTTTTTTTATTTTTTATGTACCTTTAATTTATTTTAATGTATCTATGTTTAATGTATCTTATGTATCTTTGCTGCCTCTTGGCCAGGACTCCCTTGAAAAAGAGGTTTTTAATCTCAATGCGATTTTTTCCTGGTTAAATAAAGGTTTAAAAAAAAGTGTAATACTTAGAACTGGGCAAAGTATAGAATGCACTGCAGTCTAATTCTAAACCACTTTAAAGAAAATATTTAATGCATTACTTCATATTTTTCCATGACCTTTTTCCACTGAAAATACAGAATATAATTTTCTGGTGTTGTTTACTGCTTTAAAATAAAATACAAGCATGGTTATTGTTTGAAACTTTAGCTTTGGATGCTTGTAGAAGATAAAACTTTTGAATGTTGTGAAGTGCTTAGGAAATAGTTTCTCTAAACATTCCCTCCATATGTTTTTTAATCCAGTTAATGATCTTATCCTTATTATGTGTCATTATTATCATCCCTTGACTTCCCTCTGGTCCCTGTTTTAGAAAGTCTGATTAACCTATTCTGAGTAGAGAGCAGTTATCCTGAGTCAAATTATTTGGCTTTGTTTTATTTGGAATTTTGAGTTTCAGAACAGGTGATATTAATCAGCTAACTCAACCCTACTTCATTCAGTACAGAGTTCAGGGTAAACGAGAAGATAATTTAATTCAGTTTATTTATATGGTATCGATTCACAACACGTCACCTCGAGATATTTTACAAAGACAATTCTACCAGATTATCCAGTCAGATTGGTTCAAAGTTAAGGAAAACCAGCAGATTGCATTGATGCATTGACACAAAAGCAATCCCTCACAAAAAGCATGCTTGTAGCCACTGTGGAGAAGAAAAAACTCCCTTTTAACAGGAAAAACCCTTCAGCAGAACCAGGCTTAGTATGAATGGCCATCTGCCGAAGAGGATAGGTGTTGAAAATAATAAGTACTCCTCATCAATGGAGGGAAGAAAATATGATCCAATATGGCAACAGGAGGAAATAAGAGGAAAGATGCTTTCCTTGTATTTGATCTGAGCCCAAATGTGTGACAGATTTGGATTCAAGAAATCCTGCTATTAAGTAGAGGTATTCTGGGTTCTCATTTATCACACTTAAAAAAAAAAAAAAAAAACTGGCCCCTGGTGACACATCTGATAAAAAATATAATTTTATTATATCCCATAGAAAGCTTCTCATTTCGAGCTTTTTTATAATACCACATTAATGTGTAGATCAATTCTAAACAAATTAGCAACACCATCATTCTTTTAAATGAAATCAAATGAAGTCAACAAAAAACATAATTTAAGTAAGCAAAAGTAAGGCTTAAAGGGAAAAAGTTCAGGAGGAGCCAAGACTCCATGTCACGCTGAAGAGGGGTCTAAGACCAAAACCATGGGCTGTTATTTTCATTTACATTTTTTTTTTTCTAAGGACATCTAATTTCATCACTTTATGGATAATACACTGGTTTAATTAAAATTTGCTTAAATACATAATGCTGTCACTCCTTTATAGGCCCTTTATTATAGTTTGGAAGTCAGTCAGGCATAGATGGGGCTAGACATTGTTAAAGTTAAATGGGAAAAAAGGCAGAGCATAGAATCCCATATCTGTCAACATTTAAATAAAAAATGAAGCATCTTATTCCACTTCTTTGCAGATGGAACTGTTTATTTACCAATACGTCCTGATGCAAGCAGTCCTTTAATTATCCCATTTTGAGTATTTAATGTTATTAAGCTGTTAGCTGAAGTGAAATGTGCAAAACGAAGTGTGTAACAGAGACAACCACTGTTAACAGCCTGCTATATGAAAAACCTACAGGAACAACAACTGACTACTACTACTCATTGTAGTAGTAGTCAGTTTCTTCTAAAGTTTTATCAGTTAATCTTCTTGACTAAATGTCCCTCCAAACCTACAATAAATAAGAATCAAGTGTCTCCAACTGTAAAAGACAACATCTAAAAAAAAATCTGAGCTGCTGTTGGATAATTCTGAGACTCAATGAGAACATAATCTGCATTTTAAACATTTCACAAGCACTTTTTTGTCCATGATTAGAGCTGCTGCCACGCAGGAACATATTCTACTGCCATACCTATGAAACTGATTTTGTGTATTGTAGAACATGTTGATTTCATTTCAAAGTGGATCTCACTTATATTTTACATTAAAACTATTACTAAAATGATGCCCTGTTCCCAAAGAAGTCAAATTTAACCCATGGTTATCTAATGTTATCTTGTATCAATGGTTCTGCAGCAGAAATTTAACCTGAGTATCTATGTAAGACTCAAAAGACAACATTCTTATACAGTAAAGCACAGACAGATATGTTTAGTTATTGGCAATAACTACCTTTTAAACCAACATGTTTAAAGGTTAGGGTTGGGGACAGAGATATAAAGATAAAGTATAATTGTATTTGAAGAAAAAATATGGCTATCCACTTTTACAAAAAAGGGGAAGGCTATGGAAAAAATAAGGCAAGTGTTAAAAAACTTACTAATCCTTTCATGTCTGCCTGTTTTTGATCAATTTTACTGTAATTTGACATTATTTCCAAATTAAGATCTTTTCAGATCCATTGCTTTTCAAATCAAACTTAAATAACTACATTTTTGCAGTTATAATTTTCTTTATTTATGTTATCTTTTATTAGACTAAGG